CTATTTTATCTCTTGTATTCAAAGTGATCATGGGGGAGAGTTTTCAAACGAAAATTTCAATAAATTTTGTGATAAACATGGTATCAAGCATAATTTTTCTGCTCCTAGAACTCCTCAACAGAATGGTGTAGTTGAAAGGAAAAATCGTTCTCTTGAAGAGCTAGCTAGGACAATGTTTAATGAAAAAGCATTACCAAAATATTTTTGGGCTGATGCTGTTAGTACTGCTTGCCATGAATTAAACCGTGTTTTAATCAGACCTTTTCTTAAGAAAAATCCCTATGAATTATTCAAAGGTAAAAAGCCTAACATAAACTATTTCAGAGTGTTTGGGAGTAAGGTTTTTGTTTTAAACAATGGAAAGGAAAGTCTTGGAAAGTTTGATTCCAAATCAGATGAAGGTATCTTCTTGGGATATTCATTGAATAGCCATGCTTATAGAATCATTAACAAAAGGATAAATACTGTAGAAGAATCTATTCATGTTGTATTTGATGAAACTAACCCAAGTATGCAGAATATTTTTGAGTATAGTGCAGAAGATGACGTTTTAACTGATAAAATGTATCAGTTAAAACTTCCAGAATCAACAGATTCTCAAAAACAGGTTGAAAATATTGAAGAATCTGAAGAGCAGCTGCCTAAAGAATGGAAAACTCCAAGAAATATTTCAATAGACAACATCATTGGTGAAATAAATCAGGGAGTTTCCGCTAGAAGATCTTTAAATAAATTTTGCAATCATATGGCATTTGTATCTCAAATTGAACCTAAAATTGTATCTGATGCATTAAAAGATAATATCTGGATTAATGCTATGCATGATGAATTAAATCAATTCACTAGAAATGAAGTATGGGAATTAATTCCAAAACCAGATAATGCAAATATTGTAGGTACAAAATGGGTTTTTAGGAATAAAATGGATGAAAATTGTATAATCACTAGAAACAAGGCCAGATTAGTTGCTAAAGGATATAATCAGCAAGAAGGAATTGATTTTGATGAAACATATGCTCCTGTTGCTAGATTAGAGGTTGTTAGACTTTTACTTGCTTATGCTTCAATGAAAATTTTAGGTTATTTCAAATGGATGTCAAAAGTGCTTTCTTGAATGGCTACTTGAATGAAGAAGTTTTTGTTACACAACCACCTAGTTTTGAAGATCATGTTCATCCAGAATATGTTTACAGATTGAAGAAAGCTCTGTATGGTCTCAAACAAGCCCCAAGACAATGGGGTTTAGTTGATAAAACTTTATTCTTAAAGAAATTAAATATTGATGTAATTCTGGTTCAAGTATACGTTGATGACATCATATTTGGAGCCACTAATGAGTCTTTATGTAAAGATTTTATCAAAGATATGCAGGGGGAATTTGAGATGTCTATGATGGGGGAACTCAACTACTTTCTTGGTTTACAAGTTAAACAACTTCAAGAAGGAAGTTTTCTTCATCAATCTAAATACTGCACAGAACTTTTAAAGAAGTTTGAGTTGGAACACTGCAAAGAAGCATCAACACCAATGTCCACAAATTGCTATCTTGATTCTGATGAAAAAGGAAAACCTGTGGATGAAACCAAATATAGAGGGCTTATTGGTTCTTTACTATATCTAACAGCAAGTAGACCTGACATTATGTTTAGTTTTTGTATGTGTGTCAGGTTTCAATCTGCACCAAAAGAATCTCATCTTACTGCTGCAAAAAGAATCCTCAAATATCTCAAAGGAACTTTAAATGTTGGGTTATGGTATCCTGGTGAGTCCAAACTAAATTTAATTGGATACTCTGACTCAAATTTTGCAGGTTGTAAGTTTGATAGGAAAAGCATCAATGGCACCTGTCATCTCCTTGGAGGCAGTCTAATCTCTTGGCATAGTAAAAAGGAATCATGTGTTGCTCTTTCTACAGCTGAAGTAGAGTATATTGCAGCTGGAAGTTGTTGTGCTCAATCTCTTTGGATCAAACAACAGCTTGAGGATTATGGTTTAATTCTCAAAAAGATTCCTCTATTATGTGATAATACTAGTGCCATTATGTTAACTAAAAATCCAATTCAACATTCTAGGACAAAACATATAGAAATTAGACATCATTTCATTAGAGATCATGTTTTGAAAGGTGATTGTGAAATTTTCTTCATAGAAACTGAAAAACAACTAGCAGATATTTTTACAAAACCTCTTGCTTGTGATCAAAATTCGCACTGAATTAGGCATGATAGGTGCACCAAACATTGCTTAGTTTTCAAAACTGGTTGTTTTAATCGATACAAACAACTTTTAAATCGATTAAAAACACTTATACAACATTTTTCTTTACTATTTTAATCGATTAAATGTCGATTTAATCGATTATATCAACTTATGTTTTAAACTTTCAAATTTCATCACTGTTTTAATCGATTAAAACTTTATTTCAATCGATTAAAACCATTAACAAGAACTTTTTAATCGATTTTGTCTTGTTTTTAATCGATTATTACTCTGGGAAGAAAAATTAAAGGCTTTAGTTAATGGTTGTTCTTGTAACATGCTACTATAGCGTGGTTCCCTTATCTTTACACGTGTTAATTGTATTCATTACAAACGTGTTAATGAAGATAAATTTGAATCAACTTTAATTGGTCTTTTCATGAGTAAAGTATCGTGTCCATATTTTTTTCTATTTTTAAAATCTAAATCATGATACATACCATGCATAATTTTCTTTGTTTGCTTTATTCCTCTGTTCCCTATTTTTTGATGAAGTCAAAAGGGGGAGAAATATTGGCTTTACTTTTATAACTGATTTCTCTTATTTAGGGGGAGTAGCAATATAGGGGGAAGAAATGGGAAAAACATTTTTTTTAATACTCACTAATCTATATTTTCAAGTGACTTCTTCTGTAGAGTTATTATTCAAAGTGGTGTTTGTCTTCATCAAATAGGGGGAGACTGAAAGTGATGAAGATCTTATTAAATTACGTTGGCAAAGATCTTGTTGATTTGATGAAGTAAAAAATGAAGTCAAAGGCAAATTTGTGGCAGTCAAAGGTCACTTAGATAAAAGAGTAGAGGGATTAGTATGTCTGCAGCTCTGCTTAGGTATAATCATTTTTATCTTTCTGTTGCATGAGGTTTCTTCATTTAAAAGATTTTGCATAATGCCTCTAAAAAATGTTTTAACGGTTAAAAAACAAAGTATTTTGATAAAAGTTTTCTTAATCAACTATTTTAACTAATAGCATATAAGCTTTATCAACTAAAATGTTCTTCACACTTTTATAACAGGATTTTAACTAATATAACTTCGAAATAACCGATTGTTTTCATTAAAGGAAGTTTTGAAAACCTTCAGTCAGTATTTTAACTGATACAATTTCGAAATAACCGATTAAAATCACTTAAGATGTTCAAAGAAGTGTTCTGGAAGTATTTTAATCGATACAACTTCGAAATAATCGATTAAAACTACTTGGAGTACTGTTTGACCGATCAGAATGAGCATATGACCGATCAGTAAGAAAATTTGTACTAAGCGTTTTAATCGATTAAAACAGATTTTTATCAGTTAAAATCACTTGGAAATATTTATAAGAATGATTTGCAGTATTTTAATCGATTGAAACACGAAACAATCGATTAAAATAGTTTGGAAGATTTTTTGTAAAGAGTTTTAATTGATATAAACATTGTCGTATCAGTTAAAACAAATCTGGTAAATAATCAAGAACGTTTTAATGGATTAAAAGAAGATTTGACAGATTAAAACAAGGCTTTTAACAGATTATAAGATTATTTTAACAGATTAATTAAACCAGCAGTTTTGAAAATCTTCTATATAAACAGGGTTGCTTGAACTTTTTATACATCATCTAATATACATCTTTTGGCAATCAATCAAGCAATCAAAAGTATTACTTTCAAGAAAGAATCACGCTAGTTTTTGTGAAGTTCATCAAAGTTCTTTCTTGAGGCAAAATTGCATTCTTTTGAAGAAGAAACACATATTGCAGAACTGCATAAAACTGGTTTGAGCGTTTTAGTTTCTTCTGTTTGTTTCTTTACTTTCTTTTTCTGTATTGTAGGTGCCTAGAATTGTGGGCACTGGTTTCTGTAGCTGGAATTTGGCTGCAGGGTAGGTCAAGAACTGGAATTTGGTTCTTGGTGAAAGGTTAGGTGCAGGAACTGAAATTGTGGTTCTTGTGGTAGATTGAGTGTGAGGTTAAGGTTGTAATCTGTAAAACATTCAATCTAGTGGAACCCAGCTGGAATTTGGCTGGAGGCTGGACGTAGCCCTGAGATTGGGTGAACCAGTATAAACCTTGGTGATATCTTTCTAAACCTTTCTCATCTTTAATTATGTGACTGCATTTATTTTGATTGCTTGCTATGTATAATTCAAGAATTGATCAGATTTCTTAATCTTTGAAATAGATAATCTGTTAATTGCAAAAATCTTTCAAAGATCAATTCACCCCCCCCCCTCTTGATCTCAGCCTCTTTTTCTAACACAAGAAAGGACAAACAAGGGTGGTATGTTGCTATAAAAACAAAGCCTAGAGGTCGCATAGAATCTCAAGACATGGAAGATGATATTCCTTACCAAATGGATGAAATGTCCCATGTAAATGAAGTTATTGAAGTTGAAGGTGTTTTTGGATTGCAACATTCACAAGTTGATGTTGAAGTAGTCCAGGAAGAAAAAGAGGAAGAGGAAGAGGAAGATGAAGATGAAGATGAATAGGATTCGTGTAGTTGAGAAATTGTTCTTTATGAGTTAATTTTTATATTCCACATGATGTAGTTGAGAAAATGTTCATTATGTAGTTGAAAAATGTTTTCTTTGAGTTAATTTTTCTATTTCATATTATGTATGATGTTACTCCTTTGCATAATTGACTATATAAATTTTCTATGTACAAATATGTCATCAGGAGGGTGTGACTCACCCCTACCTCCCATGTCTCATCTCAATAAGGGGAAAAAAGTAACAAAATGAAAAAAAAATCACGCTATATACTTAAAGTAAATGTCCCTCCCCCACCCGTAGCTCCTGCACCTATACCTTTTTCATCTGCAGGTGCTAAGAATATACATGCCCATACAGACAATATTGCACCTACAACAACTTCTGCCCCATCCCCAGTTGATGCACCCAACCCTAGTCCATCACCTGTCATTGCATCAGCACCTTCCCCAAGAGCTACATTGCCTTCAGTATCATCAGTACCATCACCACTACCTTTGGTCTCACCTACATTATGTTGAACATACAAGGAATTGATGTTGAACTTACATGGACATGAAGCTTGTTGATTTTGATGATGATTCAAGAACAAAGAACTTAGAGTGTTGAAGACTTGTATTGTTGTGTAATAACTCCGTTTTGATGAGTTTAAGTCTGTAATATTAGAGTCTAAGATAGCTGGTACATAATCTACTCTTTAGAAGCTTCAAAAACTCATATTTATCAGTTAGCCTCGGGTTTAATCGATTAAAACATTAGATAATCGATTATTACAGTGAGAAAAAACATTTTCTGTATCTGTTCACTGTAATAATCGTTTAACACACCTGTTAATAGATTAACAGGCCAGTTAATCGATTAAAACAGAGAGTTTTGGGATTCTGTTGATTTTGGCTCTGTAATAATCGATTAACACTTCATTTAATTGATTATTTCAGTCAGATTTTGATTTTCAACTTCAAATTAAACCTATTTTCGAAAACCCTAATCCCAATACTCCTAGTCCCGAAAATCCCAATTCTCAAACCCTAATTTCTCTACTTAAGGTTCTCTATGGCTCTCAAAAAAATATAACAACCTTTTTTCAAACAAAAATTAAGTGTTGTGAGTGTCAGAGAACTGTTTGTTGGAGGAAAAAGGAGCTTTTGGAACCTGGTGTGAGCTAGAAGCGATAAGAATCACTAAGTGGAGTTCTTAGTGGATTGTGTGTTGTGCCGTCTCTAGGGAAAGCTATTCTTCATCTCTTGTGGATTTCAAGAGAGGTGTTTTCTTTACTTTGTATTTTCAATTGTTATCTGTTTGTAACAACTTTGATTATAGTGACAGCGTTAATCCTCTGTTTGAGTGATTAGCAACTGGACGTAGGATCTTTTGATCCGAACCAGTATAAATCTCCTGTGTAAGACTCTATCTCTATTCTATTTACGTTTGAACAGTATTTTAATCGGTAAAATTTGGGGAAAATTTTTAAAACCTAATTTTTGTTAAGAAACAAATTCACCCCCTCTTTGTTTTTGTCCGACAACGCGAACATTCCGCTGCGCGATTCTAACAAGTGGTATCAGAGCTTGCTTTGATAGTCATTCAAACTTTTCAAAAATGGCCGGACAAAATCAAACTTTTGCCGAAGGTGCGTCTATCAATAGACCCCCACTTTTTGTGGGTCAAAATTATCCTTTCTGGAAAGTAAGAATGCAAATCTTTTTAGAGTCTGTTGATAGAGGTGTTTGGGACGCTATTTTAAACGGTCCCTATATTCCTAAATTTACTGAGAACGGTGTTGACGTTCCTAAACCTTTTTCTAGATGGACAACAGAGGAAAACAGAAAAGCACAATTTGACGTTAGGGCTAGAAATATTATTTCATTTGCTTTAACCCTTGATGAGTTTTATAGGATCTCTGTTTGTAAAAGTGCTCAGGAGATGTGGGAAATGCTAAGAGTGACCCACGAAGGTACCGATGACGTTAAGAGAGCACAGAAAAATTTCCTAATCCAAGAATACGAGATGTTCCGAATGCAACAAGGCGAAACGATATTTGACGTTCAAAAGTGTTTCACTCATATTGTGAACCATCTCACCGGATTAGGTAGAATCTTTGACGTTGATGAATTGAATGTTAAAATTTTAAAATCTTTGGATAGGAAATGGCAACCTAAGGTGACGACCATCTCGAAGTCACAAAACCTTGCCACAATGTCTATGGCGGCGCTCTTTGGAAAGCTAAGAGAGCATGAGCTTGAGCTTGGAAGGCTAAACGATGAAGAAGGACAATATCAAAAGAAGAACTTAGCCTTCAAAACCGAAATTTCCAAAGGTAAAAATAAAAAGGAAGAAGAAGACTCGGAGAATGAAGAAGAAGAATTTAGTCTTATGATAAAGAAGTTCACCAAATTCATGAAAGCTAAAGGAAGGCATCCATTCAAAGGTAAGGGAAAAAGGTAAGAGAAAACACTTCCGTAAATATAAAATGTTATGGTTGTGGTGAAGCAGGACATATGAAGACCGAATGTCCAAACAAGAAAAACGAAGAAATAAAAGGCAAAAAGTTCTTCAAAAAAAAAGCCTACATTTCTTGGGACAACAGTGATTCAAGTTCGGAATCAAGTGACTCGGAAGTAGAAGCCAATATTTGCTTAATGGCAAATGACAACATATCTTCTGACTTTGAGGTAAGTGATTCTGACTCATCCTCAAGTGATGATGAAAATAACTATGATGAACTGCAAAATGCATATAATGAATTGTTTAGTGCCTTTAAGGACTTGAAAAATGAATATAAAGTTGTGAAAAATAGTTTAAGTAGATCCGAAAAGGAGATTGACTCGTTAAAAACGAAAATCACATGCTTAGAGGAAAAAGAAACCTTAGAAACGAAAATTTTATGCTTAGATGAGAATGATGATAAGAACTTAGAATGTGCATCTTGTAAAGAGTATGAATATGACATAGATATTCTTAACCATTTTCTAGACAAAGCCGAAAAGGAGATAATTGATTTTAAGAAGGATAAAATTGTTTTAGCTCAAAATAGTGTAAATCATCAAGTTCCTTTGATAAAGCCTAAAAGGAAAAACAAAAGAGTATGGGTAGAAAAAGGAACTAGAGCATCTATTGTTAGTAATGCATATTATTCTAAAGTTACATCTAAAGCATGTTTTTACTGTATGAAACAAGGTCACACTTCAAATAATTGTAAAATAAAACATTTTGGTGTTCCTAAAGGTAAATACATTTGGGTTCCTATTGTTAAATAATGTGTTTATCTCTAACCCCAAGGACCCAAAAGTTATGGGGACCTAAGTTTACTATGTTCTTGTTTTGTAGGAAACTTCCAAATCAAAGAAGTCTATGTGGTATCTTGATAGTGGATGCTCAAAGCATATGACCGGTGATAAAACGAAATTTGTGAGTTTCAAAACTAAAGAACAAGGATATGTAACTTATGGGGACAATAAACAAAGGGAAAATTCTTGGAATTGGAAATATAGGTGGTGCAAGTACTTTGGAGATTAAGGATGTGCTTCTTGTTGATGGGCTAAAGCATAATCTCCTTAGCATAAGTCAACTATGTGACAAAGGATTTAAGGTAATCTTTGAAAGTAAATTTTGCACCATACATTTGATAGATTCCAAAAATGTAGAATTAAAAGGTATTAGGCATAATAACATATACTTGATTGATTTGGATTGTTTACATGATTCTAGTATAACATGTTTAGTTGCTAAGGAAGAGAACCCTTGGTTATGGCATAAGAGGGCAGCTCATATAAATATGCATCAATTGAATAAATTGATATCAAAAGACTTAGTTGTTGGCTTGCCTAAGTTAAAGTTTGAAAAAGATAGGTTATGTGATGCATGTCGAAAAGGTAAACAAGTAAAATCATCATTTAAATAAAAGAATGTTATTTCCACTTCAAAACCCCTAGAATTATTACATTTAGATTTATTTGGACCTTCTAGAATAAAAAGCTTTGGTGGAAATTATTATGGTCTTGTGATTGTTGATGATTATTCTAGATATACTTGGACATTTTTCCTAACAATGAAAAGTGAAGCTTTTAAGGTTTTTAGAAAGTTTGCAAAGCAAATTCAAAATGAGAAAGACTTAAGAATTAAAGTTTTAAGAAGTGACCATGGTGGTGAGTTTCAAAATGAAAAGTTTGAAAATTATTGTGAGGAAAATGGAATATTGCATAACTTTTCTGCTCCTAGGACTCCCCAACAAAATGGTGTTGTTGAAAGGAAAAATAGGTCACTAGAGGAACTTGCTAGAACAATGTTAAATGAATCAAATGTTCCTAAATATTTTTGGGCTGATGCGGTTAGTACTACTTGTTATGTTTTAAATAGAATGCTCATTAGGTCAATTATAAAATCAACTCCCTATGAATTGTTAAATGGTAGAAAGCCTAATATTGCTCATTTAAAAATATTTGCATGTAAGTGCTTTGTGTTAAATAATGGAAAGGACAACTTAGGAAAATTTGACTCAAAAGCCGATGAGGGCATTTTTCTAGGTTATTCATTAACTAGCAATGCTTACAGGGTGTTTAATAGAAGAACCTTAAATATTGAAGAATCTATTCATGTTACTTTTGATGAAATTGTAGACCTTGGGGGAAATCCTCTTGAGTCAAATAAAGAACTTGCAGGTGATGATGAGTATATAAGAGAGGATCTTGATTAATTGTATTTGTAAGAAAATGAGCCTTCTCAAACACCTGAATTAGCAAAAGAATGGCAATCACCAAGAGGACTCTCAATGGACAATATCATTGGTGATATCTCAAAAGGGGTAAGAACTAGAAATATGACTAATTTCTGCATGTCTGTAGCTTTTGTGTCACAGATAGAACCCAAAAATGTTGAGGAAGCGCTTAAAGATGACCAATGGTGCATAGCTATGCAAGAGGAACTTAACCAATTTGAAAGGAATCAAGTCTGGGAATTAATCCCAAGAGAAGAATCACATCAAGTAATTGGAACTAAATGGGTATTTAGAAATAAACTTGATGAAGATGGAAACATAACAAAGAATAAAGTCAGACTTGTTGTCAAAGGCTACTGTTAGGAGGAAGGTATTGATTATGATGAAACTTATGCTCCTGTTGCCAGGTTAGAGGCTATACGCCTACTTCTTGCCTATGCATCTTTGATGAAATTTAAATTATATCAAATGGATGTTAAAAGTGCATTTTTGAATGGTTTTATTAAAGAAGAAGTTTATGTGGAGCAACTCCCTGGATTTGAAGATTTTAGTTATCCTAATCATATTTTTAAATTAAAGAAAGCATTATATGGGTTGAAACAAGCTCCTAGGTCTTGGTATGAAAGGATAAGTAGTTTCCTAACTTCAAATGGTTTTTCTAGAGGAAAAATTGATTCTACGTTGTTTATAAAGAAAGTAAAAGAACATATCTTATTGGCCAGGTATATGTTGATGATATTATTTTTGGATCAACTGATAATTCTTTGTGTGTAGAATTTGCTAAGATAATGCAGGGAGAGTTTGAAATGTCTATGATGGGGGAATTAACA